CCCCAAAACCCCAAAACCCCAAAACCCCAAAACCCCATCTTGAAATATTTTTATTGATAACTAAATTTAAATTAAAACTATGGAACATTTCTCAGCAGAGGAACTTCTCGCTCTTCAAGATGTAATCGAAAGTGATTCAAAACAATCCGAACAAGTCCTTGAGAATTCTCTGGAAATCATTCATGACACATTGTCCCAAGAAATCCAAAAGCTGAACACATTTGTCGACAAAATAGGTATGCCATTGCATTATTTTATAAAGGGAGGAGCACAAGCAATAGCTTTACTGATATGGGTCAGAATAACCCAGGAAATAATCCATATGAACAATCAAATCTTCCTCCTATCAACAGGAGGGAGAACAAATATGTCACATTTTCAGTTAATGCTTCTAAAGATTTCCGTATGAGCCTCGTAAAGAAATCGGTTAATCGCCTCAAGGAGAAGGCTCCTGATACCTTAAAGATCAAAGAGGTTTTATCAGATAACCTTGCTCACTCATCCCCAATTGAACTGTACTCAACCCTTTATAGTCTAAGTCCTGAAGTCTGGAGTATTTACAGAAGGTTTAGAAAAGATTGAATAATAGCCACCATCCACTCAAAATTCAAACCTGAACAAAAATTAAGCCTCAATGTTGAAAGTGATGGGAGGGTATATGATGGCAACACACAAATTTCCATCCCTGATCCTCTCAGTGAGAAGTTCTTAATAATTTCTAGATGAGTCTGAGATATCTCAAACCTTACAGCTCATATGAAGATGCATCGAGCAAGAAGTAGAAGCTGAGCTTGAAGTGTACATAGAAAATGAAGTCTATATTTTACCAATCACTATCCAAGAGCATTTATTTTCTATATTTCTGACAATTCTTCTTGATTTCATGATAACTTGAGGTTACATTACTGAAGAACAAAAAAATTCTATGTTCAAACATAATGAAGAGAATGACCTAAAGTATTTATGACCTTTAAGTTATAGCTTAACTATTGGCTTTGGAGAAGAATCAAAACATCCAGACCTGGAACCACTTTTTCCGTGTGATATAAACACAAAGTTGTTCATGATTGGTAAAGTAATGGTTAATCTCATAGAGCGGATCAATCATTTGGAAGATAAACTTACAACAATAATTTTACAAAATCCCACTCTGGCTTCTGTAATCCATAATGGTAAAATATAGATAGAGGAGGGAGGTAATCCTAATACTATGATTTTGTCCAATACTTGAAGAATGGTCTCCAACGCAATGGCTGAAGGAATAGATCAAATCCTTGCCAAAATGATGAAGGATGAACTAGACCACTGCATGAGTTCGAGCCAGAACAGTTTCTATGAATCTGAGTCTTCTTATGTATCTCAAAATTTTTCAAAATAAAGGAAAACACAAGAAAAATCAATTGCATCAATTTGAAGCAAGTGAGGATAATGATTTTGACAATAATCTGAATTCAAACTTTCATAATAACTCTGAGAGATACACAGTTGCCAATAGTGTCGCAGCCAGTGATAGGCAAGTAATAAAGCTACTTCAGAAGAACTCCATTGAAAAATCTTATGTAAATAACATTCCAGAAGTTTCAGAAGAAGACTTGCGTCAGTCCCAATCTCCTAGAATCTACATGTCGCATTCAAGGAGTAAGAACAAGGAAGATTTTAAAAATAACACAAAGAAGAGCCAAAAGTACACTATCGAGTAGCAAATTAAAATTCTACCAGAGTTCTAATTCCAGGGGTTTTGGGGTTTTGGGGTTTTGGGGTTTTGGGG